GACAGCTCATCCCCACTGGCTTACGGGGCTGCAACTCGCCCCGCGCTGCTGCACAAGCTACTTCTGGTTGAAAAACGGGTTTTTTTCCCCCAATAAGCATCTGTGCTGGCTGCTTTTAGAGGCCGCATCGATTGCCTGCGGGTGGTTCTGCCAGGCGAACCGAATTTGGGGAGGAGAGGACCTGCAAATGTGGAGGTGGAAGCTCTACCTGTCCTCCTAACACCAGCAGATCCCGTCCCACGTTTGAAGAACGAGGCGATGGCAGCCAGGTCTGGTGCACCACCACCTCCGTGCCGCAACCCCACCGATCCCCTCCGAAACATCGAAAGCCGAAAATGCAGCAGCGAACGGTCGCCCACCGGGGTTCTCCGGCAGCCCCACCGACCCCTCCCCGGCTGGTATAGCCTCGTCAGCGAAGGTGACAGCGATGGGGAACCAGCCTGTGCTTCCCAAAGAGATCGCCCTTTCCATGCCGGAGCCAAGCCACGGGCCGATCTCAGCCTGCGGAGCTGGGAATTCACTCAACAAGACCAGGGTGAGCTGCGGTCCCTCGTCAGCTCCCTCCGACGTCTTGAAGCGGGAGGAGGCCACATGCGACACCAGGCCGAGTGAAAAAGGCGGAACGCAGCTTAAAATAAACCCAGAGCTTTGTTTCTGTTGCAATAACCATCGTGAGGGGGATCCAGCACAGGGGAGAAGCGGCTGCGCGGTGGGCGGGAAACGGTCGTGCAAAGCAAGTGCTGAGGAGGGGAATTGCGAACCCTTCGCTAAAGGCTGAGCCTGGGCTGTGCCAGCATTAGATCGCGTGGAACGGCATAAAGCAACCAGCAGCCGGGCTTCTGCATCGCTTGGGGTCTTCTGAGAAACCACCACTTCTAGGGGAAGGGGGGCGCGGGCTCCGGCTGCCCAGCCAGCCGACGACTGCGGGATTTGTAAGAAGTCAAGAAAAAATCCTGTCTGGCAAAGTTGAGTCCAAATGATGGTGATGGGGCCTGTGAAAGATTTATTTTGGGGGGTTGTTTGGGCAAGCTCGTGTTGTTACTCCTCCAGCAGCACGTCTGTCCTCCTCCAGGCGAATCAGCTCAGGCCACGGACACCCCGGCTCCCCACACAGCGAGGTGTTTTCTCAGGTTCGTTAACAGCAGCTCCCGAGTGGTTCCCCAGCCTTCGGGTTTCCCCCTCTCCAACACTGAATAAGCGACAACAGGCACCGAAGTGCTACGGATTAAACCCCAAGGCTGCAGCCCCCGGAGCCAAGCTGGAGTTTGCTCCAGCAAACTCCATCCACTCGCGCACCCGCCGAGTTTCGTGGAAAACCGGGACAGCCCGGGCAGGACCTCAGCAGGAGGCAGACGCTGCCAGGACGACCCAGGGCTGAGAGGAGCAACGCCAACACCATCACGCCACGAAGGAAGGACGCTCCGGCCAACGCTGACCGTTCCGTCTTCTCCCCGGCTGCGCTGGGGGAGCGTCCCTGCTATGCGGCTGCTCTTGCTGCCCGTCTCCCAGGCTGTTTTTGGGAGGCATCCCCCAGCACAGAGGGGAAGAAGCAGCTCTTTAGGAAGGGAAGGAGACCAGGGGAAGGCAGGAGGAGAGAGGCAGCGACCCGCTGCGAGAAGAACCCCCTGTAAAACATTTCCCTAGCAGAGACCTTGCAGGAAAGCGAAGGCGACCTTCTTCCTCTCCTTTCTGGAGCTACGGGAGATGCTCCGCAAAAGCCATCATTCGCAAAGATGTTTGCCGTAAGAGAATTAACTGGAACACCTTTCCAGTTTTCCCACCGCACGAGGAGTTTCGAGACATCAGTCAGAGAAGTATTCCGGCAAACCTGCTCCAGCTCAGCCCTAACTCATGCCCCGAAGGAGCCGCTTTGGGAGGCGGGGGGTATGAGGACGGTGCTCGGAGGTGGTGAGGGACGGTCCGCCGCTCGAGGGGCCGCTGAAGCTATTCTGCTGCTGTTTCGGTGCTCCTCGACCAGGACGTTAATATTCCTCATAGAGAAACACCTCTGGTACTTACTTTTCTGCTCTTGCTGGGATCAAGGCTCTCTCCCGCTCTAGCCTGCAAGAGCCCCAACCGGGACTGGGACCACGACTCCAGCAAGAGCCGTACCAATGGAGTGAAACACCGGGGTTGCCCAGAAGAGAAATAAAATCCCCTGGTGATGGAAAAGGAGCTCACCTTTCAGATCTAAGCAGTCTATCCTGGGAGCCAGATCTTTAAATTCCTGCAAAAGAAAAAGCAGCATTTCATACTCAGGAGGAGGAGGAAGGCGGGGGGTGGGGGGGGGAATTAACGCGCTAGAATAACGAGGCAACATGACAAATTGGGCAAATCCTCCCCCAAACGAAGAGAGGATGTGGGAACTCCCAGCCCGAGGTTCACTTGAAATCAAAGCTGCCACCTACGGCGCTTTGCAGGCTGGATCCCTGCGAGTCACGGGGAGACCTGGTGACCCTCCCCGGGACAAGGTCTTGGAGCTCTACGAGGAAAGGTGGCTGATGAAGAAGAGGGTCCGTCTCCGCACACGGAGGCACCAGAGCTGCCTGGGGAAGGTACAGCGGGTGAAAAAGCAAAAAAATCTTCCCTCCCAGGCCAAGCAGCTCCAGCGTGCTGCTCTCAGGCCTGGGGATTTAAACGGGACTTTTGTTCACCCCGTGCGAGCAGGGAAAACCACAGCCCTCGTCGCGGTCTCCCTGCGGGCTTCCCTCCTCCAACCGCACGCGCAGATTTCCATTTAAAATAACATCCGAGGTAGAAACCGCTCCGCAAACAAGCCCGCTCGAGTCTCGTCCCCTGGCTCGAAGCGGCGGGGGGGGGGGGCCGGGGGGACCGCGGGGGCCCCCCCCCCCCCCCCGCCGCTGCCAGCCGGGCTGGAGCTACCTCTGCACAGCAGCCCCAGGAGACGGACGCAGCTTCAGCGGGGAAAAACAAGGTCTGGTAGCACATTAAATTACGCATAGTATTTCGCTAGCAAGCTCCTTCCCTTTTCCTCTCCGCAGCAAGTTTCATCTGTCCCGAAACCTGCTCGTAATATTAAAACAGGAGTCTCCGTTCCCATCTGACACGTCAGCGACTGTAAAAGTCTCCGGCGAGTCGCGTAATAAAGGGGCGTATTTGATCATTTGGCGCTGGGACAGCACCTGCACCAGCTGTACCTGTATCTGCTTCAGTAGTTTGGGTATCTGCTTGCAGTTCAGCTTCTGGCAGGCTTGCTTGTAGGCGGTCATGATTTCATCAACAGTCACGTTCTGGGCTGAAAAGGTACAGGGCAAGAATTGAGGCTACGGTTGTATTTGCAGGAATCGACACGTCCGCGTTCCCGCGCCGGCTGCCGCTCACTTTTTTGTTTTGTTTTGGCAGAAACCGCCGCGCCCGCTTCCCCCCGCCGCCTGCCGCTATCCGCCGGGGTTTACGCCCGGCAGAGGAGCCTGCAAGATTACAAGGATTAAGGCTGTTCAAATGCGACGGAACGAAGCAAAGCCTGAGCGGGGCTTGCTCGAACACATCTACGGGAGCAAGCCCTGTCTTGCTCGGGCAGAAAAGGGGCCAGAGAAGCACCTCCCGCCTCCTCCAGCTGCGCTTTGGCACGAGAGCCGCTCTTCTGGGAGCAGAAGAGCTTTTAGAAAGAGTCGCGGGACGACAAACCCCGAGCCCCCCTCAGCAGGCTGCGGCGGTGGTTAAAAAACAGCGCTGTCACATGCGTTCCTCTCGCTTTTAGTTTCGCT